GTGTTTGACCAACAGTTTATATTGGAAAATGTTTGGGATAAAATTATAAATACGCCTAAAATTTAAAAAGACTGCCCCACTCTTTTTATAAACTAAGCGTTATAGGTAAATTCTAATGGATCTTTAGAGAAATTTCATTTGGATCTGTGTGTTATTTATTGTTTATGCGAACTTTATTATCAAATTGAAAGGAATTATGGCAAAATGAAAACTTATTTTGATCTTCACCCGTTCACTTACTGTATACCCTTTGATGGGCATAATATCACTTTAAACAACATGCAAAACTTCAAAACATATAAATCGCTGTACTATTTTAACTGCTGTATTGCATAGAAATCAAAATGCTAGGAAACCAGTAATGTTTTCAGTTAAAACGTTCAGATTGAAAACTCGGATTAAAAAAAAACTGTTCACCATCTATTACATATAATTTTTGTTTCTGGAGAGAAAAGGGTAATTATTTTCACGACTACTTTCTCTTTAATTCTATGTATTTCTATGAAAAAATGTCCACGATATTATAAGACGAGCGTCTGTCCTAGGATGATAATTTGGTCTTAACGGTACATGGTAAAGTCCAAAAACGGGGTTATCTAGATTATTATGCGATATCGTAAAAGTAAACACTTACATATACTATATAGCATTATTCTTACAGTATCGTTGGTGAATGACCGTTATAGCTCTGCCGGTAGATCGAAATTATTGTAACTTTTAGTGTTTTGTACTCATAGGTTCGAACCCCACGTACTGCCATTTTATATTTTCTTCTTGCTCTGTTTTTTATCATTATTATTTATTTGTATTTCGTTTTCCTTTTTTGTTTTCTTCTTATAATATATATTTTATAGTATATATTTATTTTTTTTATTTCTATTCTATTTTCTTTTTGTATTTTTGAACGCAGTGTAATAAAATATTCGATCTCATATTCATGTATGTATATAAAAAACCGGTCAAACTTGTTTTCTGAACAATTGACTGTTCAGAGGTAAAAAAAAAACAAGTGTCTTACCATTAGTCGAACTTCTGCCTGTACGGGTAAAACACATTACTGACACGGTTGCTCTACCTACTGCGCTAACAAGACATATGATAGCATGTAATTTTATTATTTGTTTGGGTCGTCAGACCAAACAAATAATGGTAGCGAAATTTTAGACCCTGACGCTGTTAAATGCCGAAAGTAGTCCGCTTTTTTGAAGCGGTTACTTCCCTTTATATGTACACTAACGCCGATAATTCAGGGAAGACCACTGCGCAAAGATTGTCAAATGACAGGCGCATTGATTTTCAAGCAAAATAGTTCAAAATGGTCGAATATTTCTAATATTGTTTTATTTTTTATAGATATACATGCTTATAGTAAGCTTCATGATTATTTACATCTATGTTAAACAACAGGTTTAGCGCCGAAATAATAAGAGTTACAAACCCTAATTTAGAATAATTTGGTTTTCTTCAGGCCGTTAACATATAACTTCAGCGTGGCCGAGGGGTTTGCACGCTCGCTTAGGAATCGGGAGGTCTGGAGTTCAAATCCCAGTTAACGCATCTAATTTTAGAGTCACAAAAGTTAAAACACTGGAAAGCATTGGTAGCACTATACAAAAACAAATTGGTTTATAATCTCACACCTTCTTCTTTCTGACATTCTGAGATCCAAACAAATTCAGCGCCTTCTGTGCTTTGATTTTCATTCTTATAGCTTGTGGCATTGATCTTTGCGACGGACGCGCCCTCAGGCGCGTTCAGAGCTAAGTCATCTACACATGGGATTTCGTTGGCTACACTCGCGCAATGTGTCCTAAACCAATTAACAGCCCAAGAAATAGTACATGAATTTGATCCTTCAAAACTCCCATACTTTGTCTGGATATCTTAATGTCTTCCATATTTAGCCTTTTCAATTTCAAATTAAGTTATCCAAGTTAAAATATGAACGTATATTATTGATAAAAACGTTGTAGTCCCGTAGTATTATTGCGCAATATGCAAATTACTGCTGAAACGATTTACCGGTGTCGAAAAAGTAGGACAGCAAATTATACTACAATAAAGGTGTAACCTCTGAGTTCCAAGACATTATTAGTAGGAAATAAATATTTCTACATTATACAAAACATTATTATTAACAAATCAAAAGTTTTTCGTGACTCTAGGATAACTCGCGCATTAATAAAAGAAGAACTATTTTCGTGACTCATACCGCGGGTTTAGCTGAATATTCAGCAGTTATTAATATATTAGATACAGTACAGTGGCTAGTATAAATATCTATTTTTGAAAATGCATGTAAAACACTTTACCGCCATGTAGTCTTTCATGGTAAGGAAGTTATAATATCAGTTCTACTTCCGATTCTTGTGGTTTGTTTACATATTTAACTAGGTCACGATATGAGTTAACCTTCGCTATTCTAAATATAGATTCTGCATCACCTGTTCTGATTTTTGGACAGGCGATTAGGAAGTACACATTAAACATGTAATTAATAAACCAGCGGATTGTAATGCAATACTTTTAGAAATGCTATACAATTGTAAGAAGCAAACAAGTTGAAAATGGAATTTAGTGTGAAGTTGAAAAGGACAACTAAACACTGTAGTGCTTAAGTGACATTTAAAATTAAAATAAAAACGATGTGCTCTGGCCTCTACATCTTTACCTTGTAAATAAAAAAAATCTAAGAAATACACTATTAATTGCTGATGATTTTAACCAATTTTTTTTAATGAGACATATCCAAGAGAAATAAAAATACAAATGACTTATATTTTATTGTCTGTATGCCCACTATGATATAACACGAAGCAATTCTAAATAGCATTCTCAAATGTATAATGTATTATGTTTGAAGTTTATTTGCCTGGATTTATTCTAGAAATATTTCGTTTGTTTTCTATTTACATATCATTTCTTAGAATAAATCGATAAGGACACTGATTTACAAGTTTGACCAGAGTTTTTAGGCATAAATTTCATTCTGTATTTAAGTGCTTGAAAGTAGAAAATCTGAATTATATCAATTTGGGACACAAAATATATTGCTCTACAAATCTCGAACTTGTATGGAACAAATTTTCTCTGTTATATATTTTGTGTTGTTTTTGTTTTGTTTTTTTTTTGTTTTTTTTCTAAAAGAAGCCTTAATATGTCTCTCCGGTTGCATGTCCGTCGCATTCAGTGCTGCAGCACTTTGATTCGCATTGTTATTGGTCTTTGTTATGCCCCGGTCACATATTCACGGATAATGTCACGGAAGAGCTACGGTCTAATCGTTCACGGATTACTACGGAAATGTGAAATTCCGTAGTCCGCTACGGCTCCAGTACGGACACACAACGGTATGAGTACGGACTTCGACGGATTTACCACTGAGAAACGGATTGTTACGGACGGACACGGTTTTATACGGAGCGGCATGAATCAGGACGGACGCACGACGGATACACTACGGTCTGGTACGGTATAAACACGGGTTAGTACGAATTAGCACGGGTCTGATACGGAGAAGAACGAATTGATACGGAGAAGAACGTATTGCCACGGATCTATACGGACCTATTATAAACGTCCACAACCTCTAGCATGCTCAATTTCAAAATGCCTCACAAGGAAAGAACACCTAGAAAACGAATTGCAGATTTTAATGATTTTGGCGGAGAGGATTCGGCCTCATCGCGTCCGACCCCCGAGACATATTAGGTCCGATTAAAGTGAAGTTCGTGAAGAACGCCGGATCCTCAACAAGTTCGGCCAAGAGAGCATCATACTAAACATGAAGGGGTCTTCGTAAAAGCCCATCTCTAGTGCACAATCTCCTCTGTCTTCTCTTACTTGATCAGATATGGGCTAGTAATCATTTAAGAAAAAATTTGATCAATACTGCTTCTCTTTTGATTTTGAAATTTGCTGTTCATTTTACAATAACAATAATTATCGTGAATGTTTGTGTTTTAATTAAATACATGTATGTAAAAAGCCTGTTAATTAATCTTATTATCACTCAAGGGCCAGCGTCCGAGGCTTATGAGACACTTCGTTTTATGTACATATTTACTCCAATTTCACGATACTAATTAATGTTTGTAAAATATGTAACATTAACTGCTATTCTATTACATATGTCGTTATGGATTGTAGTACGATATTAATATATTTTTACCTCAAGCAGATCGACCACTGCCTCCGCATTCTGAGCTATTTTAATATAAAATTGCAATTATCATTTATTGAATGTTTGTTTTAACAAGAAAGTATTATTTATACCCTTGAAAAAGCACATAATACTTAATGTATCCGTACTTCATACCGTGGTGGACCGTACCATTCCGTACCGTTTCGTGTTGCAATGCAATAAACCGTATAAGACCGTGCTAATCCCTGCCTCTCCGTAGTACAACGTATTACGATCGTAGCTTTCCGTGACAATGCCGTATTAATCCGTATTAAAACAGTAGCTTATACGTTGGGTAGCCGTACAAATACGTATTTCTCCGTACCAAACCGTGGAAATCCTTGACAGGTTGAGGCCTACGAATCAGTACGGACTAGTACGGTTTTTGTACGGACCAGTGCGTATCAGTACGGTTTAATACGGACTAGTAGGGATACGCTACTTTTCCGTAGCAAATTTTTGTGCATGTTTAAAAATTGTCAAGGATCGCTACGGATATACAAGGACTACTACCATTGATTACGGTTACAATAAGGAAAGCTACTGACCAGTACGGGTAGCTACGGACGATGTCGGAATTAATCCGTGGCTCTTCCGTGGGCGTATTCCGTGAATACATGACTATTATGAATGTGGGTATTATGTTAACAAAGGCTCAAGTTATCATCCTAGGACAGTAACAGCTGTTCGCTTGTGCATCGCACGAATGTAAACAAAAAACCAATATCCCTGTAGCTCCGCCTCTGAAATAGCGTCGGTCGATTTACCTGGTTAGTAGCACTGGTTGTTTTCAAAATTTGAAAATAACTGCCATCTCATTGGACAAAAAATAATTTCAAACACTTATGAACTTTAACCTATACAAAATGTACTCGTGAGTGTCATTAATCAAAATAAAACTAGAAAACATCCGTTTAAACTGATTTTACTACTCAAGAGCAACCGTATCACATTTGGATATCCTTGGTGAATATCGCACAGCCATTGCTTCCTAGTTGGATTACATGGCAGTGGTGACATTTGAATGGACAAATCTCCCAGGTGACAAATTTAATTTCAGTTTGCTTTAGCATGTTCATTTTTCCTTAATCTTTCATAGGAAGTTCAATTTCTTTCAAATCATAACTAATTAAATCGTTTAAATGCATTAGATCTTAATCGATGTGTAATGTCAAATTGTTTGCTACACGTTTTTGCAGTGATCTGTTAAGACCTAACGTACCATGGAAAATGAAAAATGCAAAATATCAGATAAATGGGGAAAAACATGATATAGGTTACATTATAGGTCTTATAATAAGGTCTAGCCAATAATCTGAACTATCTTTTATGTTGCTTTTTGCCAATAAGTCCAGTAATTGTGATACAATACTTTGTTTACATTTTGCTACTTTTATGACCAAAAAATTCACATTCAGCGATTCTTTCTTAGGTGATAGGCATCTAGCATGCTCTTAAAAAGTTACCGAAATGATATAAAATCTTTATTTGCCCAAAAAGAAGTATTTATTCGTTTCTGATACATAATTTGCCCCTAAGGAAGCAGTTTGCGCCAGCTAGTAATGGTGGTTTTGGAACAACTGAATGTCTTATTTCTGTGACCACGAATGAAATATAACATGTCCATAATTTCTCTTTTTATTCCACTTTTAAGATTTTTGTTCAACACGAAATCAAATAAATAGCCTTTATTAAACAAGGTAAATGTAGTCTTATCTGTAGCTATTGATTAAGTCGAACACGATAACGTTTACATTAATCGGTCTTACCATTATGATAAAATGGGTTGTTCAAGTTCTTCAATTATTATGTTTTGCATTTTTATTGCAATATAGAAGATAGACACGTAAATCCGAGTAGCTTCGTAATTTAAGAGTTCAGATTATGAAGATATTAGGTTAGGTTACATCTAATGGTCTACATTTTTTGAGTAATACTGGTTTTTACTTTCAGAATATTTTGATAGTGTGTCACGTACGTAACTTTTTATTTTCTCTTTTATAATGTTTTGCACAATTTACATTTAAACTTATGACGGTTAAGCAAAATTGAATGTATTTGATTTTTAATTGTCATTAAACAGATTAAACAGTATTATCAATTTTATTCTGTTTGAAACTCTCAATTCCATTCGCCACATTTTTATCCCCCCCCCCGTAGCGGAAAGGGGATTATAGGAATGGCCTCCGTCTGTCAGTCCGTCTGTCCGTCCATAGCACTGTCGTGTCCGCTCCACAACTTTTAAACCGCTTATTTTTTAGCTCACCTGACCACGAAGTGGTCAAGGTGAGGTATAGTGATGGGGCTATGTCCGGCGTCCGTCGTCGTGCGTCGTGCATTGTGCGTCGTCAACAATTGGGTTGTTAACAGTCTAGCAGTCACAGTTTTGATTGGATCGTTGTCAAGCTTTGTCAGAATGTTTGTCTCAATGAAATACAGATCGAGTTCGAAGATGGGTCATCTCCGGTCAAAAATTAGGTCACAGGAGCTAAAAATAGAAAAATCTTGTTAACACTCAAATGGCTGCAGTTTTGATCCAAATATTCTGGAAATTTGTCAGGAAGGTTGTTTTGATGATTTCTAGGTAAAGTTCGAAGATGGGTCATCTCCGGTCAAAAACTAGGTCACAGGAGCTAAAAATAGAAAAGGCTTGATAACACTCTACTGGCTGCAGTTTTAATCCAAATATTCTGTAAATTTGTCAGGAAGGTTGTTTCGATAATTTCTAGGTCAAGTTTGAAGATGGGTCATCTGCGGTCAAAAACTAGGTCACAGGAGCTAAAAATAGAAAAAAGCTTGTTAACACTCTAGTGGCTGTAGTTTTGATCCAAATATTCTGGAAAGTTGTTTTGATGATTTCTAGGTCAAGTTCCAAGATGGGTTATCTCCGGTCAAAAACTAGGTCACATGAGCTAAAAATAGATAAAGCTGTTAACACTCTACTGGCTGCAGTTTTGATTCAAATATTCTTCAAATTTGTCAGAAAGGTTGTTTTGATGATTTCTAGGTCAAGTTTGAATATGGGTCGTCTCCAGTCAAAAATTAGGTCGCATTGCCCAAATATGGAAAACCTTTTTAACACACTAAAGGTCACATTTTTTAACTCAATTGTCATCAAACTTTGCCAGGATGCTTGTCTAAGACATTGCTTGGATGCGGTTGATGGGTCAGGGGAGCGATCCAGGGCCATCATGGCCCTCTTGTTTAAATAACTGTGCACAAGTGATCACCATAATGAGACGATGTGCAGAGCGCAATATTTGGGTTGCTACCCTCAAGGTCAAGGTCACACGTAAAGGTCAAATGTTTAAAAGTCTTCATCTCATAATAAAAAGTCTACATTTCGTGTCCGCTTCATAACTTTTAAACCGCTGAAAGTTTGTTTTTTAAATAACTTTGCACAAGTGATCACCATAATGATACGATATGCAGAACGCAATAATTTGGTTGCTACCTCCAAGGTCAATGTCACACTTAAAAGTCAAGTGTTAAAAAGTCTATATTTCGTGTCCGCTCCATAACTTTTAAACCGCTGAAAGTTGGCACAAGTGATCACCATAATGAGTCGATATGCAGAGCGCAATAATTGGGTTGCTACCCCCAAATTCAAGGTAAAACTTAAAGGCCAAGTACTGAAAGGCTACATTTTGTGTCGCTCCATAACTTTTAAACCCCTGAAAAGTTTTTTAATAACTTGGCTCAAGTTATCACCATTATGAGACGATGTGCAAAAGTGCAATTGATTCTCCCAAGGTCAAGGTCACACTTACAGATCAAATGTTAGAAAGTCTACATTTCGTGTCCGCTACATAACAATGTTTTTAAGATATCTTGGCAGAAATGATCCCCATTATGACACCATTGGCAGAGCACAATTATCAAGTCACAACCCTGAAGGTCAGGGTCACACTCGAAAATCCAATGTAAAAGCATCTATTTTTCATGTCCGCTCTATAACTTATTGACAATTCAAAGGTTTTAAAATTACTTGGCAAAAATGATCCCCACCCTGACATAATCTACAGAGCTCAAAATTCTGGTTGCTACCCCCAGGTCAAGGTAATATGTTTTCCATAACTATTGACTTATTGAAGGTTTTAAATAACTTGACACAAATAATCACCATCGTGAGACTATGTGCTTATGATATGCATGGCACAACATCAATGTCTTGGTTGAGAAAAGGTCATTTGTATATACTGTATATATATTCTTTCATTGCTCATTAATTACCCCAATCACGACTGTGTTGTGTTATACTTAACTTGTTGAATGCGAATGTGTGTATAACTAAGTGTTCTTAACAGTGCTGAAATAGCAATGTGTAAATGAAAATTACGGGGAACTAAAATCTAGTTCGATGTAAAAAAAAAACCATAAAAAAATGAATGCCTTTTTCAGGATTCGAACCAGGGTCTCTACACTGATAGAGCACTACGCCATTATGCTTAACGCATTTAGAATGAGTGATTGATTAGGTGGTAAAAGAGTTAGACGATAAATAGTATGTTTTCATCATCCCTATTTGTCAATATTGATGTAAACATATAATGAAAGGAATAGGGAATTCGAGCTGTAGATCGCTATTCTGACCTTTTATTTGAATAAAAATACTAGAGGTAACAGCAAACAATTAACATAACTTTGCTCATTTTTTTACAAATATATTGTGGTGAAATTTTAAATATATCCAGTCATCTCATAGTTAGAATTGGACAAGCTATATGCATGAAGTTAATGGCCGGGAAAATAACAATCGGAACTCCTCGGCTATTATTTATAATAACCTCGGACTTAATACGGTTTTAAAGTAATTATACCACGTGACTTTAGATACACACACACGCACGCACACACGCACACACACAAGCGCGCGCACAAGTACCATAGAAGACCGAATCATAATTAATTATTAATTGTTTTATTGGGTCTTGAACTCATCGAACATACTGAATGTGTGTAAAAAGATTATTAATGAGACTTCTGTTAGAAATAATTAAGTAAGATGCCGAGTGATTAACACGTCAGACTAGTAATCTAAAGATTGCTGGCCGCGTGGGTTCAAACCCAGTCAGGGGCAGGGCGTTTTTACCGTTAGCAAAAAAACTCTACACTTTTTTTTGGTTCCAGTTCCAGTGTTTTAACCCTTTACCTCATATATACGCGAAACAACGCACTTTCGACACCCCCCCCTTTTTACGCCTGATTTAGTGAAAAGTGTCCTATTTGGGCCCAAAACACATGTTGTCGTTTGAGAAATGTTGCTAAAAAAGTGAGCACTTTTTCGGCGCCGCCCCCCATCCAAAAGATACATCAGGGGGTGGCCAGAAGTGGGATGTGCCACCTTCTGTTTGGGGGGGGGGTTTGAAGGGGGGCGGCACTCCCCCTTATCGCCAAGAAAATTTTGGACTTGTGAGAGGCTAAAAATGACCCCAGGGCGATCATAAGGTTACGTGTAACCAACGCTAAAAAGCCTTTGACTCTGTCTCAATCCCTTGAGAAGTTGCAGCACTTTGAAATAAATTTTGATGGAAAAAATCGAGGCAAAATAGTGATATTTGTCAATTTTGAGATGTCCCCTCGTTGCCATGGTAACAGGAAATTTAAGACTGAGCATGTCGTTGCAAAGGCAATGGTCCAGTCAACATTTGTGCCAAGTTTGAGTAGTATTGAAGCATTTTTCATAGTTTCATAGCAGTTTGAACTTGTAACAGGAGGCTTTTCAGTGAAAACGGCCATTTTTCACAATATGCTCATGAGGGAAAGGGTTAATATGCTTAGAGATTCCAACAAAATAGAACTAAAGTAAATTCGTATAACCTAATCTCTTGCGGGATTCAAAGTAGATGGACACAAGTACGCAAAGTAATATACTTAACAGATGATTATTACATGTACCTTACATGTAGCGTGTTTGCATACTATACTTTAATTACTCTCTTTTACAGTTTAATTTCAATCCAAAAGGACATTTAAAACGCATATTTCGTTTTGAGTCAGCAGATTGGAGACATTCCTTTACGTTCCAAATTGACTAATTATACGTACAGCTATTTACTCTGCGATAAATGTAATATTGGACAATTAGCAAGCCTAATTTTATCATGAATATACATCTTGCAACATAAAATCTAACGGCAGTGTTGCGACATTAACGGTAAGGGAAAATCGTGCGACATTTAACGTTACAGTTGCGACATTTAATGGTAGTCAATTTTGCGACATTAAGCAGCGGTTGCGACATTTAGCGGCAATGGTGCGACATTTAGCGACAAGTGCGACATTTAGCGGCGTTGCGACATATAACGAAGCCACACACGCGACTTGTCTTACATGGAGTGTAAGATAGGTTTTTCTAGCACCGATGTAAACAGTAGATAATCCTGTCTGCTATGCAGGACCATTTCATTCAACTCGTGCAATAATTTCAATATTAAACTTACATTAATTCAAATCTTGTATTTATCATTAATCAGTATTTGAATCTCAGGAGCTATAAGTAGAAAAATCTTGTTTACACTCTAGTGGCTACTGTTTTGATCCGAATATCCTGGAAATTGGTCTAAAAGTTTGTTTTGGTGATATCTAGGTCAAGTTCGAATATAGGTCACCTATTGTCAAAAACTAGGTCACACCGCCCAAATATGGACAAACCTTTTTAACACTCTAGTGGTCACATGTTTGACTCATTTGTCATCAAACTTAGTCAGGATGCTTGTCTAGGTAATTGCTCGGTTGAGTTCGATGGGTTAGGAGAGCGATCTAGGCTCATCTTGGCTCATCTTGTTTGTAAACTGTTAGAATTATTTATTTTTTGTTTGACAAAATGTGTTCGTTAAAATGGGATTTATATTTTTTGCAGAAAAAAATGGCAGGGAAACTGTCAGTTGTTGACAAGAAACAACTAGAATGCTTTATACAGGCGGACCAAAAGCAATTTAATTTGTTGTATAGCTTTACTACAGATGGTGCAGATGCGTCAACATTTCATCAACTTTGTGACAAGAAAGGCCCGACAGTGACTGTTATTTATAACACTCGAGGTACAGTGTACGGGGGCTTCACTGAGAATAGTTGGGCCTCTGAAAGTGGGGTATATGTAAGGGATGATCATGCCTTCCTTTTTCGATTACAACACAATGGAGACCGTAACCCGGCGAAGTTCCCCGTGAGAAAGCCCGAATATGCCATTCGCTGCAAAAACACACATGGGCCAATATTTGGAGCAGACATTATCACGTTCGAGGGAGCACTGACTAAGAAGGACAGTCAGTTCACTTTAAATGGCGGATTTACATACCATAATTCTTATGACATGGGGGCATGTTCAATCGGACAGTTTTCTAACGATTTATTAACTATCACAGATTTGGAGGTATACAGTGTATCTGGTAAGTATCCCCTCAAAACACTCCTAGCAAAAAAAAAATGAAAAAAAAAAAGGAGAAAAACTAGTAGTGTATGATATGAAGTCATTTTGGAAACTGGGAAACACATTTAGTTAAAAAGATGTGCCATTTTTTTTAATTTCTTTTCTGTTAATCACGTACATTTAAACATATTGTATAAAATATATACTGCATTTTGTAATGATTAAAAAAATGTCCAAAAACTTGAAAAGGGAAAAAAATATTCTACGTCATTTTCATTTTTGTTTTCGCTATTGTTTGATAAAAGTACGAAGTCGAAGACATACAAAATGGCTATGGACGTCTCAAAATAAAATCCATATCAGTATTTGTCATAAATCATTGATCACTTCACAAGTTCACATTGTGTAAATAAACATAATTAAGGTCAGAAAGATAAAAAAACAGATTGTCACACATTTCCTCCACAAGAAAGTTGTAAAGATAGCAATGATATTAAAGACTTGAGCTTGATTCTTTTAGCAATAAATGAATAAATAAATAAATAAATTTAAATATAAAAACCCGACTATTTACAATAATCACAAGCAAAATAATAAGTGTATTATCGGACGAAAACAATAATAATAGTTTAAATCATTAAAGAAATATCCAACAGGGCGTATCTATAATCCGTGTTTGCATTTCATACAGTCAAGTGGTCAGTAACACAAATATAAAATATATATTATTAAATAACAGGAATTAATGCGAAGTATATAGGTATGAATACCCATTTACGTGTAGCAAATATATACATGTATATTAACAAAGAATGTATGTTTTGTGAACACAGATACAGTACCCTTACCAGCTTGGAGACAGATAGGAGGTTGGAAGAAACAGGTAAAGCCCCAGTCACATTAGAGCTTACGACCAGTGAAGACCAGTTCACGATCACCAGAGACCTTTGGTCGCGGACAATCTTTAAAACGTCTTATGACGGTCATCGGTGATCTTTGACAGTCGCAGGTTATCTTATTTAGATCCCACGACCAATTTCAGTCGTAGAGAGGTTTTTGAGCTTGCACAAAAACCTCCCTGCGATCAAACAAGGGTTGCTAGTGATCTTAATAAGGGTTTGGGTTTCGCACAAAACGTTTTAGGGGAAACCATGACAGGGACGGGGATCTAAAATAAACAACACAATCTTGAGACCCAAAAAACGTTTGTTTAGACCTGTCTGGGGATTTTTCAATTGATACTGGCTTTTTATAGTCGAAAAAACCCAAAATTTTTCCTTCAAAAGGTTTTTTGCAGACAACGCTGATAAAACGTCAAATTTTTTTAAATCGCCCCGGGGGGTCGCAAATAAAACGTAACCTTTATTTTTGACTGGGGGTTTTTCTTACAAATTAAATTGGGAATGACGTAATCATATTTTACTTTAAAAAGATTTTTATTTAAAGGGGGGAAAACATCTTGGGGATTATTAAGACAGGGTTTTGAAAACCGAGGGGACCACAAAAGGAGGGTTTTTCCTGTGAAGAATTTAATGAAAACCCGGTTTAACTTTAAAAACACACCCCAGCTTTTTTTGTTTCGTGCTCTTTGGGTTTTTTTTTTCCAAACCCCAATTTTTAAAACATTTTTATCTTACCGGGCCAACTCTTCGGGTTCCCCGGGTTTAAAAAAACCAGAAAAATTTTTAATTAAATTTTTAAAACGGCTCAAGAAAAAATGAAACCGGAAAAATTCAAAAGGGCAAAAATCAAAAAATTTAAAAAAAATAATTTTTAACCTTCCCCGAGGGCGAGCCAGTGAATTTAGTCGGGTACTTTTTCCTTGAGCTAAGCAGGCCGGGGAATTTAAAGGGTCCTGTATGTTTTTATTTAAGGGTTTAAAACCCTCATAAGTAAATTTTTTTATTTAAAAATAATTATTTTCTAAAAAAAATTTCCAAACATCCAAAAATTTTAAAAAGTAAACTACTGCAAATGTGTATACACATTATAAGTAATCATTAAAATGTATGCATTCATTTCTTATTGAAACAAATTGACATAGACTTTATCAAAAATAAATTTCAAATTACCTCCCTTTATTTACATGAAATTAAAATTCGGTAATATCTTAACAAATAAAGCTTTTTGGAACTTACAATATTGAAAACAATCTTCATTTGAGCATCATATTTATGATATAAAAGAAAATTTGAGTTACAATATCTGTTAAGTCGGTATACTTGACGACTTTGTCATTCAAAATGTGAATCAATAGCGAGCAAGAAAAGCAAACGATGAACCATAATGACATGTTGCAAATTAACCATATACCATCCACTATTTTGTTCCGTTTGGTGATGTTAGATGAAAAACACTGTTAAGATATCTTCTTTCTTTATTTAAAGCATGCATGTGTTTTTTTCCAATCAAAAATAAATTTTTTATTCCTCCCTGTAAAAGTAAAAAAATAAATGCATTCTTTTTATAAAAATTAATGGGTTTTAAAATTTCATTTTTTGTAAAAGAATTTTAAAAAATTGAAGAAAAGAAAAACGATGCGTGGGCCCCACACCACGGGCCTTTGGGTTGGGAAAAAAGAAAAAAGTTCTCTTCCCTTGGGCCGGGTTGGGCCCGGAAAATTTAAGTTTTTTCAAAAAAATTTCCCCAAACTTTTGAGGTCATGTGACTGGACAGGCTGTGTGTGGTAGTGCGGAGCAGAGTATTACATCAAAGGTATACATCCAAAAAGGTGCATTTACGAAATCCCACTTTTGCCTACAACACCTTTCATGTTTAACTGATTAAATTCGTTATATAATCATTTGTTGCAAGGTTTCATCGCCTGCTCGTTCCATTTTGACACATAAAACTTTATTCCCAAGCAATAACGGATGTTTACTATTTACAATTTGACCAAAAGATATTTAAGACGCAAAAAGAACTATTGAGTAATTTAATTTTCAGGCTGTCATACTCACCCTGGTGATGACTCATCATGGTAAACTTCAACAAATAAGAGACTGAATCGAGAGAAAAATGAAGACCTTTTATTTTTATTTCCTTCCCTTTTTTTTTAGAAAATAAACCACGTGACTATAAATCACAAGTACATTATATAAAAAATATACTGTTAAAAAGCACCGTTACACATGCGTTACCTATGTAAAAGCACAAATTTTTTAGTCACGTGGCACAACTTGCAGAAACAGTACGAATAACTCCCATTGGCCATTGCAAAAACGTTACGGGTAATGAGATTATATATCAATAATGTACAGCCTTTTTGTCTATTTACAGTACCGCATGTATCGTGTGCGGGGGTCCGCTCTGACAGAGCCATTGAAATTTAGGTTGTGTGACACAAGAGGGATTGAAGAAAATCAAGGTATGGATGGCACGGAGCTCAATTACCTTTTGGCGGGAAATGTTCCAAACGGATACCAGGTTTGAAAATCTCTAATTCAAATACATACAAGTATAAAAGTGTCATTGTTCTGTATGTGATTTTACTCTTGTAAATTCCTACTCGATGCTTCTTTATAACAACTATATATGAGCCGTGTCACGACAAAACCAACATAATGTGTTTGCGACCAGCATGGATCGAGACCAGCCTGCGCATCCGCGCAGTCTGATCAGGATCCATGCTGTTCGCTTACAAACCCTATTACAAGTAGAGAAACTGATAGCGAACAGCACGGATCCTGATCAGACTGCGCGTATGCGCAGGCTGGTCTGGATCCATGCTGGTCGCAAACGCATAACGTTGATTTTGTCGTGACGCGGCTTATATGTCTGCCTTTATTTTACATGAAAAAGACTGTTTTATGAAAATATTTCAGCATCAAATCATTTGTACTTACTTTAGGATAACGTGTTTACAGAACTGTTTGTTTGTGATATACATTTCAAACTTTACAAAACATCCACATACTGGTATGCATTCTTTTATCAGTTTAATCCATCAACTCCGATTTCTCCCGACACAACTGGATTTGTTGCCTCACCGACATTGAACCACAAAATTCATTGTGTTTGCTTTATAATGGATGGAACCACAGTGTCGGTAATGTCAGAGAAAATGTTAGAAAAGATTAAGGCCCTCCAGAGTAAAGTTCGACAAAAAGGTATGATATAACGAGTTCATTATTAATGATATCTGTCATATGTTGAGGCTCAGATCAGAATAACCTTCGCAAGGGACCCGCCTATTGGGCCGTAACGAGGCTTGCCTACTTAAGGCGGTAACGAGGGTTGCCTAGTTATCGCCCATGGGCGGGTTCCCGAGGGATGGATATTCCGATCCGAACCGCAAACATATGTCAGATATTTTTTCTTGCATATTCTACCATATTCCATCATAAATTTAAATTCTTTTTTTACCATAATAAAACAATTTTCTATGGAAAATTATGTCATAACACCCAAAACTATTTTCTTACAACAACGTATGAAATTACAACTTCATTCAGGACAGTGCAATTTCGTCATCCAAAGCATGCCGTTGTATAGCACGCAACTCATCTGCCCCCACCCCCATGCCAGATGGAATGTTCGGCATGGGTTAAAACTAATGGAAACACCAGTCTGATATGCACGAAATGTACTGTTTGTTCTGATTCATTTCATGAGTAACCATCAAGTGTTTAGTGATAAGCAGTTAGATCACAATTTTGATATTTCGTAAAATCTGTGATATTCTTATGAAGAAAAAAATAGATAATTCAATACGAGTGATTAAACTATCTACGCAGATCGTATATTTAAAATAATATAAGTCTCTGCGATCTACAAAAACAAATTCCTTAAATATTTTGACTATTTTAACAAATCTGATAGGCTAATAAAGGCAAAACGAATGCATTAGTATGTAGATGTTTTGAATGTGCCGGTCGGAAGTTAAATTTAAAGAACATTTTTCAATGATATGTATGCTGTATTCTGCCAACCTTATATTATTATACAAACCAAGTTGTGTAAGATTCTAAACATTTAAGGCCCATTCAGCCTCATAAATGATATCATTTTAATGTTTCAAAAACTTATTTATTTTTGTAGTCCTGCTACACTTTTCAAAAGGTTACTCATTGTTCATATTTCTGAGCAATTTTTGTGTCGCCTTGAAAAAGGCGACATATAGGGGTTACTTTTGTCGGCGGATTCGGCGTCGTTGTTGTCGTCGGCGTCGTTGTCGGTGTCGGCGTCGGCGTCCCCTAAAGCTTGTCCGGAGCATAAGTCAGTCATTATAAGTTGGATTGACTTCAAACTTGGTATGCATGCTTCTTATAATGACCCAAAGTGCAGTGCACAAGAACCGGTACTTTGCACTTCTCACTTTTTGAGTGACTGCCCTTTGTTAATTTTCGTACTTTATTTTTGTCCGAGCCATTTCTCCTAAAGTATAAAATCTATGGACTTGAAACTTCATAGGATGATAGATCTCATTAAGAAGAAGTGCAGTGCCCAAGAACTGGTACTCTGCATTTCTTATTTTTTGAGTTTGTGCCCTTTGTTAATTTTCATACTTTATTTTTGTCCGGGCCATTTCTCCTAAAGTATAAAAGGTATGGACTTAAAACTTCATAGGATGATAGATCTCATTAAGAAGAAGTGCAGTGCACAAGACCTGGTACTCTGCATTTCTTATTTTTTGAGTTATTGCCCTTTGTTAATTTTCATACTTTATTTTTGTCCGGGCCATTTCTCCTTAAGTATAAAAGCTATGGACATGAACCTTCATAGGATGATAGATCTCATTAAGCAGAAGTGCAGTGCCCAAGAACTGGTACTCTGCATTTCTTATTTTTTGAGTTATTGCCCTTTGTTAATTTTCATACTTTATTTTTGTACAGGCCATTTCCCATAAATTATAAAAAGCTTTAGAATTGAAACTTAATAGGATGATGGATGTTATTGATAGGAAGTGCAGTGCACAGAAACTGCTGCTCTGCATTTCTTACTTTTTGAGTTATTGCCTTGAAAAAGGCGACATATAGGGGTTACTTTTGTCGGCGGTGTCGGCGTCGATGTCGTCGTCGGCGTCGTTGTCGGCGTCGGCGTCCCCTAAAGCTTGTCCGGAGCATAAGTCAGTTATTATAAGTTGGATTGACTTCAAACTTGGTATGCATGATTTTTATAATGACCCAAAGTGCAGTGCACAAGAACCGGTACTCTGCACTTCTTATTTTTTGAGTTATTGCCCTTTGGTAATTTTCATACTTTATTTTTGTCCGGGCCATTTCTCCTAAAGTATAAAAGCTATGGACATGAAACTTCATAGGATGATAGATCTCATTAAGAAAAAGTGTAATGCCCAAGAACTGGTACTCTGCATTTCTTATTTTTTGAGTTATTGCCCTTTGTTAATTTTCATACTTTATTTTTGTCCGGGCCATTTCTCATAAATTATAGAAGCTTTAGACTTGAAACTTAATAGGATGATAGATGTTATTGATAAGAAGTGCAGTGCACAGAAACTGCTGCTCTGCATTTCTTATTTTTTGAGTTATTGCCCTTTGTTGATTTTCAAATTTCATTTTCTCCTAAACTATATTGTTCACAAGGCGACACATCCGACTGGCGTTGTTCTAGTTTTTTGCTTATTTTCCTTTTTCGGTAATTAGGACAGTTATAGTGAATTAGTGTTTCGTATGGAAGTCAAAATACCACTTTGTTTACATTTCTCTACCTTATTGTCACAATTTTTTTCACATTCAACATTATTTCATTTAGGTGATGAACATGTCGCATGTTCTGAATCATTATAACAATATTATTTATTACATAATTTCCCGGTCTACAGAATGCATAAATAATTCATTATACCGAGGCATGATCTGCTATATGTATTGCTAATTGTTAGAAGCACTGGGTATTTGATTGCAGAATAATGAAGACATATAACATGTTCTCTATCTAATCATAAGCCTGTGTTTAAAAATTGCATATCTCCCATGCCCTGCAATTGATCCTCGATTTTCTTGTTCTTTCACTGTTCATAAGATATAATTTTTAAAACCCTGTGCCGCGCATAATCACTTTTTAAAGAGTACATTATTGCTTTTCACGGAATTCATCACGGTTGTAAAAAAATATTTTGATAAAATTCTTCGGATTATTTATTGCATGTATTGGAATTTATTAAAAAACAACAATAATTTTGTTATTGCATTTCTAGGCCTGTCACAAGTAGTCCTTATTACTAAAATCGACAAAGTCTGTTCTAATGTAGAGGAAGATGTGTCAACAGTATTTCAGAGCGTTGCAATACAAGAGCTTGTTGATACGGTTTCTAATATCTTTGGCGTACCGAGGAGTCATGTGTTACCAGTCAAAAATTATGAAAAGGAAATCAACGTGAGGGATGATGTAAGTTTACTAGCACTTCATTCACTGCGACAGATTCTCCGGGCATCTGAAGATTTTATGTTTAACCTTCTTGATATGCTGGACGACGAAAGGGAAACGAAAGGCTCTGATTCGACGGAATGATCTATAACATGAAGTCATAGGCACTTTGTTTCGGGATAAAAAAACAACATTTTGAGTGGTTTGTAGAACTCAAATTTAATTGAATGTAACGATTCTTTAACGTAGATGTCCCTTTTCTAAAATTGTCATTTTTTTCCGATGTTAGTAAAAGAAAACATCAAGGTAGACCGTGGAAACGTCGGCGACTATTAAATTATATTCAATTAAAATTTGAGTTCTACACACCTCTCAAAAAGAGTGTTTTTTTTTATCCCGTAACCGAGTGCCTATGCATGAAGTGTAACAGTCGCGACACTTGTACAGACGGTGTTTTGTTTTGAAATATTAAATTATGTATACTGACTTGTGATAAATGATTATGATAAGAACGCAGGATCTATATTTATTAACGATAAATTCTATTTTTATTGCTTTCTATTTTGGGTTTATGTTCAGGAAAATGACTATTTGTATGTAATGGAATGTCTTAGAATATTTTCATACTAGGTTCATTTTGTTTGAATTCTATGGACCACGCACAGAGTATTATAGACCGCATTTCATTGAAGTGCTCTCGAAAAAAATTCTCTTGACTTATAGCATGTACACGTTTTACAGTCGTAACTATTACGTCATATCAATTAATGAAGCAGATGTAAAACTTTTATAATAGTAGAATCGTGATATTTTGAATGTTATAGATCAAAATTTTCTAATATAAGTGTTATCAACCATTTTGAAAAAAAAACCATGTAATGAACCTCTATGACAAAGTCGCGTTGATATTTAAAATACAATGAAACATATACATTTGTATAAACATTATGCATTAAAATCTTTCTTTTTTCCAAATTTTTAGAAATAGATTAATTGATTAAATTACAAATTTATGTATAAGAGTTTCTTTGTCATTTTTTATCCTTTTTATCCTGACCAGGCGCTATAGGTCTTACCAATGCGTTTTTTTTTATCCTTTTATCTTGTGCTTTACATCTTACCAATACTGATCTTGTATGGGAAGCACGCCTACTTAAAGCACATCTTAAGCACCATCGACGCATCGCTTAAAATCAGATGTGAGATTTCCGGTTCTACTAGTTCACCAGGCACATACCTAGGAAATTTGAATGGTTTTAATTTATGGTAATTTCGAAATTTGTTATCAAATTGTTTCAAAAATGAGAAGGGCAGTTTTACTTCGCTAATATTATGACGTACGTATTTATAAGGATATGGTAAAATTTGAACAGCGTAAAGTACAAAACTCTTCAAACCAGTCTACTGAAAATAGCGTCCATTTTGATAGAAAGGTTCATCTAATATGTTATTTAGTCTCTTTCCTAATTATACTTCCCAATTTTTGTAGTTAATACGGACAGCTTCATGTGAAAGTATGTGCAGATGCAAAAGCCATTGCGATACTCAATTAACCTGTAACTTCTTTACACTTCTTCAGCCGCTTCACCCCTTCTTCCACGGCAAATATTTATTAGCCAACTGAAGTTTTCTCCTTTTCAATACCCAACACATTAAAGCTGTACATTTTAATGACCAAGCATGCTATTTTTTCTTAGCAGACAAAAGAAAACACACATTTACCTCAACAGGTAAATAAATAATAACAAAACATATAAATCCTCGTGAACAAAGACAAACACGAACTATTTCAAACCTCTGCATAAAGGCCATCCAAAAGAAAGACTATACATTGCTTTAATAGACAAGTAGTCTTTACTCTGCAATGAGTCTTTACCGCCAAAGTTACCCACTATATTTGTTTAAATAATGCTTGCATTGACACTGATTTTGTTAAAACGTAACAATTCTAGCGGCTTCATATAGATAATTCCTATTTTTTTACGTATTTACTTCCCTTGCCTAAAGTGGCAGCCAAATCAATTTAAACAGCCGATTAACGCGAATTTTCACATTCCTTTTTAATGTATGTAGCAAATTATTATTATAGCACCAATATGTTAAATAATTTTATCAGTTTTCATGAAGATGATAGAATTGTGAGAGATTTTTATCTGATCTTAAGCAAATGACCCTCAAAATGGTGGCCAGGGGAGGTAAAATTGCTATGTGAATTTTTTATAAAATATTTCTTCTACTACTGAGTAGGTAGTTATTCTATAAATGTGAAGCGTATTCTAAACGCGGATGTAGATGTGAAATATTATTGAGCGCACTCCTTTACACTTGAAATTTTAACATTTTCATGAAACCGTAAATTTTGAATGCCGAAGAAACTATAGTAGAGTTGTAAAAATAGGAGGCATGTCCCGTCCTAACTCAATGCCACGCCTAGGTGTTTATAGTGTTTTACACAATTTAAGTGGAAATTATCAAAATATTATTGTAGGCGGTCTCCTACAGGTGAACATAACCTCCCATGTAGAAGGATTAAAATTAAATAACCATTGTTTCGACCATATATATTTATTATGGTGAGATCATCACTGTGTTAATGATACTGATATCATTTGTAGGCACAGCTTAACCTTTTCCCTCATATAGACGTGTGTTTTACGCCTTTTTGTCCCCCCTTTTTGAGGCCCAAAACAGTGAAAAAATGCCATATTTATGCCCTAAAACACTGTATTTCGTTTGAGAAATGTTGTTAAGAAAGTGATCACTTTTTCGGCGCCGCCCCCATCAAAATGATACATCAGGGGGTTGCCAGAAGGGGGATGTGCCCCCTTCTGTTTTGGGGTTTGAAGGGGGCGGCAGTCCCTCTCATCGCAAAGAAAATTATGGACATGTGACAGGCAAAAAATGACCTCAGGTCGCTCTAAAGGTAACGTGTAACCAACGCTGATAAGCCCTTTACTCTGTCTTAATGCATTGAGAAGTTGCAGCACTTTGAAATCAGTTTTGATGAAAAAGAAAGCAAAATAAAGATTTTTTCGCAATTTTGAGACGTCTCCCCGTTGCCATGGTAACATGAAATTTAGGATTGAGCATGATGTTGCAGAGAATATAGTACAGTCAACATTTGTGCCAAGTGTCATCAGTATTGAAGCATTTTACGTAGTTTTATAGCAGTTTGAACTTGTTACAGGAGGCTTTTCAATGAAAACGGCCATTTTTCACAATATCCTCGTGTGGTAAAAGGTTAAGACCTGTCATCTGCAAAAAGTCTGGTTATAGTAAAAGGAAATAACAACTCCATTCAGAACAGTGAAATATCGTCAACGTAAATTAAAAATAAAGGAGGCCCAATTACCTTAAGGAACGCAGCCAAAAAAGTAACGTAATTAAGAGAGGAGGTACCAGTTTCTAGCCATTAAATAATTTTCTAGCCAATGAATTAAATCGAGTAAAGTTAAGTACTGTCTTAATTTGAAAATTAAACTCAACTGACCGACCGACCTTTAGATTCTTTCATGTGAGGAAGCTATCCAGCTAGCGTACGGAACGTCGGTGGTTCTACTCAGGTGCCCGTTCGTGTCTGAAATAATTCACAGGAGGGCACCTGTGGTCTTCCTCCACCAGTCGTGGAACGTCGCCAAATGACCTATACTGTGTCGGTGTGTCCAAAAAAAAAAAAAAAAAAAAAAAAAAAATGAAATCCCACGTTTAATTTGGAATAATTGAGTTGGTTTTCACTAACTGTGAAAATGAGTGCTGGTCGCTGTCAATACAGTAAATATTATTGAAATGTTTTAACAGCGAGTCATCCGTATATGTTCTTTTTAATTTTCGTATTTGTTCTTTTGAATTTTTTCATTTTTTTGTTGCAATAATTATTATTAAGATAATTTAGTGATACGATCTCTTCCATTTCGCCGAAATATACGTTTACATTTTTTCCTTTAGTTCATATATCTTTTATTTCTTTTATTCGCAAAAGTTTCTAGTTTCAATAAATCATCCTTATCTTGCCTGTTTCAATTACAAGTACATGTACTTAAATTTATTTCACAACTCAATTTAGTGTCGTTCTATCACGTATACCAGTGATTTTCACAGTATTCGAAAAATACGGGTACCACATAATTTTCGGAAAACTACTTTCGTTTTCACAATAATTAATTACAGACCTTTAGACGAGTTTGAAAAACTGCACAAAAGGTATGTTTTATTAATGCATTCTACAAATTTTAATTCAATTTCAACTCCCATTTAAGAGTTCTTTTTAATAACTCTCTATTAAAGATAAATAAATTAACACATGTGGATAAGTGAACAGATATCTAGGTCAGAATTATGTTTAACAATACGCTGTCAGGGGCGTAGCTGGGAAATTTCTTAATGTACGCACAAACTAACGCACAAGAGGTCAAAGGGGTGCACGGGCAATTTTTTTTCAGGATGATTCGATTATACTATTTCACGTCCATATAATATAACAAAAATGTGGTTTGAATTCTCAAATTAAAGACATTGTACCACTACATGTAACTATTGTCGGTGTTTTTTAAATTGTTAAGAAATGAGTCATTTCACTTGAATAATAAATGCATAAAAATATAATCCTTCCAAAATTAATTGTTGAACAGCAAATAACCAGAACCAGAAATAAACAGGTCAATACTTGCGAATTAGCAAATAATGTGGAAATTTTACTCAAAACTACCAGATTCTAAGAAAGAGACGATGAAAATGTCTATGAATTAGTTTTTGACACATTATACAAGATGTAAGGCAAGTTTAATTAAGCACCTAAAACTCACTTCTTAAAGATGAACATTACCATTTTTGATGAGTGTTTCTGTAGTATATACAAACGTTTTCCGACGAACTCCATTACAGTTATATCAAGAACTCCTGTCAAGTTATCATAAGAACTCCATCTTTCGTGTAACAGTCCCCCCTCCATGTTTTAGTTCGATTGAGTTGAAATCTTTAACCTTATATAGAGAAACTCTCGAAGCCCTTCCCTGAATCAATCATTTCTAAGCACTGAGAGTTTAGTTTTTGCACAAGGAATTTATTGATGGCCACTGGAGTTTGCTCCTTCATGTTTAGCAATCCTTAGATACTCCGACGCGTTGACCGAACGGTTAAGATCGCCGACTTCAATTCACTTGCCCCTCACTGCTATTGATTCTTCAAAATAATGTATATATTAAGTTTTATTATTTGGACAGATTTGTGAAAGCATAACCTAATTGTACTCTGTTAAAGTTAAATAAGTTATAACTATTGGGGTAAAGATTTACCCTACTCTTATGGTTTCTTAATTATATGTTAACTTGTATGGAAAAACATATGAATCTACCGTAAGGGTTTATGCTAGGCATTACTGTAGACGTTTACAAAACTAACAGGACTAATGACCCTAAAAGGGCCACCAGTACAGAGCCAGGTAACATCCATACAGAGTGACCATTTGCTTACTCAGGTAGCTCATTTGTACAAATACATTAAAATATGTAATACCAATCTCTAAGACTTTGAATGAACTGTTCCAAGTTCACAGCTGAGCAAAACCATTTCATAAATTTACCAGGTAAAAGGTCTCATATTAAAAGGTCAAATATTTAATGAAGAGTGAGAACAATGAAAAATTATACAATATAACAAAACCCATTTTCATATCTACCATCTCAATAGGTATTGAGAAATTGCTACCACGTTGCTACGCTACCCCTTTGTTTCTTTGAGTATGAAATTTTTCACGCTTTGCTTCGTACTCACTTCAACAAAGACTTATATTACATAGCTCTGTTCTTCGAGACTGTGTCTTTTTTCTACGCAATCAAACTAAAATAAATTCTGTATAAAAAAAGGTTTCCCACAAAAATATATTTGAAAAGTGCTGATACTCGCCGATTAATGGCGTTAAACCTGTGT